ACCTGTAGCTTCTCTTCATTAAACCGAGCCACATAATTTTTTAGGCTCTCTGTCGTCCTCTGCTTTATGGTCAGGAGGTAGGCCACTGGTCGGCTTCTGTTTCGTCCTCCTATGAACTGAGTCGGAATGCCCTAGCCAGCTTCTTAAAACTCGAAATCAACCCCCTCTTCAATTGTCGAAACCAAACTCTGGTTGAACCACTTAGGGTGAAGGAGAACACTCGGAACCTGATCGCCTCTGTTACCCCGTAGATGTCCATCCATTCACGATAGGCGTTGAGATGATCCACTGGGTTGACCGAGCCGTCATATTGCTTTATGACCGGGAGCTTAAACTTTGGAGGAACCTTTTCTCCCATTATTTCCTCTGTGAACGGAGAGTCGGCCTGGTCTATTAATTCCTCGAGGTCGAATCCATTCTTTTTTGGCTCAACAGCTTCTCCGATGGTTCAGGTCGATCCTACGACCTTTCCTGTCGATAAGTCCAAGGTCTCCTCGGTCATCTTGGCGTTCTTTGCCCCCCTTGGGTATCGGGGACTTCGGTTGCCTCATGACCTGCTATTGACCCGATGGGTCGAAGATTCAGGTTCGCCACTTATCATTCCTTCCAATCTTCAACTTGCTCTGGGCGTTATTAGTCGACTCTTCTGCCTCGTTCAACTCTAGGGTTTTACCCTTCCGAGGATCCTTGACGAGGGGTGGTGGGCTCACTTCTCGCTGTTCCAATTGCTGGAGTAATCGGGACATGCATTGATACATTCCCTCAACCTTCTCTTCCAGAGCCGCGAACTTGTCCTTGGTTTACCTAGGAACTTCAACCCTAGGGATCTCGAATGGCTCCTCTCTATATTCTGGAACTTGTCGATCATTCTTTCTAGAAATTTGTTCGACAATCTGCCGACTCGTCTCACCTTCAACTCCTCCTAACAGGGGAGCATCCATGTTCAGCTTCCTCCTCGGATGGTGGTCCTCATCAGAGCGTCGTGGAATTTCTTCCAGATTCATGTTGCTCGGTTGTATCGTATCGCTCCCCACAGACGGTGTTAATTATTGATGCTGGAATTTGGCTTCCTTGGTTCTCGTCAAAATTGAAGCAAACTCGATGATCACGGGACTGAATACCTGCAAAACCGAGCAACACTAAACCGATGTGACTTCAGTCACACAGGCTCCGTTGCTTAAGTTAGCTATGGGAGAATTACTTAGTAAAGTAATTAGGGTATTTTTGCTTACCCCTAGGGTTTAGTCTGTAGTTCTATTTATAAGAATTCTGTCTTCCATATCTTTCTTGTTGAGCTCATCTAATTTGTTGTTGTTGGATCACAAGGACTCATGGACCGGGGCACCTCAACCAACGAGAGAGGAGGGAAGATGGGCTCGGCCCAGGCTGAGTAGGGGTCGAGACCGAGCCTAGGTCGGCTCGATCTTTCCTCCATCGTAGCTTGGTTTGGGCCTCTTTGGTCTGTATAGACCCATTTCTTTGGTCGATTTTGATCCCATAAAACATGTGTTTTAGGGTTGCAAGTTTTCTTTGAGGTTGTGGTAACTCTCTAAATTGTTGACATTATTGTCGTTTGTCAACAATCAAGACCCGTTTCTGGGCTCAGGGATTGGAAAGAAAGGATTAATTTGGTAGATTTTATGGAGCTGGTTGTTTTCGTTTGAGGTCTTCAGAACAAGAGGAATGCTAATGTTTTTAAGAGGGAGGAGTCTTTTGGGACATCTTCTATAGCTGAATGGGTCTTTTCTTATATGGATGACTATCGCTCTACACATGCGACAACGGAGGCCAAAATTCATCACCAGAATCATCCCCGAAATCCAGTTTTTTGAAGCCACCAGAGGAAGGTTTTTACAAAATCAACATAGATGCAACTGTATCTTTCTATTAGCTGTAGATTCCTATCTCTGAACTAGGATGGTGAATACTCAGGGATGAGGTTCACCCTACTGTGGATTGAATTTATTGCTTGTTTAATCACGGCGGGAGTTGAGTTAAAACATGTTTTGGTATCTCGGGAGAGAGCCATGACGATCTGGGCAATCAGTATTTATGAATCGATATTGCATAAATATCATTAAGTGAAAGCAGTAAGCAAAATCCCCCTCGATTTACATTCAAATCGTTTCTTCCGAGTAACTTGCATGTTTTCTGTATTGGATGCTTTAAGGTCTTGTCTAAAAATCAGCTGCTGTGTTCCAAGCTATTGTTTCTTATTTTAAGTCAATTTAAATACAACAATCTGATTTAAACCATCTTTTTATTTTTCTTTTGGTATTCTGAAATTATTGAATCAAAGTATAATCTAATTCTCTGAGGAGACGACCTTGTTTTTTTTATGCTACGACGGGTTATTTAGTGTATACTTGTACTAATTTTCTCCTAGTTGTCAGGAAGTGAACAAGTTTTTGGCGCTGTTGCCAGGGAACTAGATTTCATATCTTGATTTTTGATATTTTGGAATACGGTGCTTAATGAGTTCCTCACTTTTGTTTCGGGTAATTTGTGCAATGATGAATGATTTTCTTTCATTCGAATTTGCATTTGACCTAGAACTAAAGCATACATTAAGACGAAGAAGGGCTGAATAGAGGGTACAATATAGAGAAGTTGCAATGAATCTGAATGCACCAAATTCACCTGAATTGGAGGTAGAGAGGATAGAAAGGGTTGGAGCTGACCAAGCTGTGCCAATACCTCCCTTGAATGCTGTCTTGCTCGCTGATGATACCGAGCAGGAAATTAGAGCATACGTGGCTCCAACTTTCTATGACTTCAATCCCGTAATTGCAGATCCTATAATTAAAGCTAATAGGTTTGAGTTGAAGCCGACAATGTTTCAAATGCTCCAGAACGTGGGGCCATTCTATGGGCTTGCATCAGAAGATCCTCATAAACATTTACGATATTTTATGCAAGTGGCAGATTCATTTAAGGTAGAAGGAGTCAGTAAGGAGGCTATGGGCTTAAAGTTATTCCTTTACTCTTTGAGGGACACTGCGGGAGCATGGTTGGATTTCTTGCCTACCGAGTCTATTACCTCATGGAATGATTTAGCTGTGAAATTTCTAATGCAATATTTCCCACCATTCAAAAATGCAGAGCTTAGGAATAGAATCAATAACTTTCAACTGCTTCCTGGAGAGTCCTTAAGCGAGTCATGGGAGATATTTGAATGACTACTCCAGAAGTGCCCTCATCATGGCATACCACACTGCATCCAAATTGAAACTTATTACAACGGATTAAATGAGGCTACACATTTGGTGATAGATGCCTCGACAAATGGAACGTTGTTGTCAAAACCATATGGAGAGGCATTTGGTATTTTGGAGAGAGTTTCCCGCAATAAGCATCAATAGTGAAAATCCAAGGCGACATAATTAACAACACCTAAATGTTTAGTGGCAGAGGACCCAATAGCATATCTAAACTTAAAGATCTCCAGGTTGTGTAATATAGTAATGAAGAATGCAACTTCAAGTGATGCTGGAGCATCCAAGGCTAAGGTGAATGCTATGCATCGTATTGTGAGGGTGAACACGATTTTGAGAATTGTCCAGGCAATCACGCCTCAATGTTTTACTTGGATAGTCCGCAGCAGAATAGAAATAATGTGTATGGGAATACATATAATCCAAGTTGGAGAAACCACCCCAACTTTAGTTGGGGGGGGGGGGGGAAATCAATCGGGACACGATTTCGGAACAAGTAATGCTTAAGCATATCCATAGAAGACTCAGTATCCACCTAGTTTCTCAGGGCAGAATCAACAGGTCACTCAAAAGCCTCTTGAGACGTTGAGCTTGGAAGAGATGTTTAAGGCTTACATGATAAAAAAAATGATGCCAATGTTCAGAGTCAAGCCTCGTTACTTCTGAGCCATGCAACATCCTTATGGAATATGGAAGTACAGATTGGTCAGTTGGCAACAGAACTGAAAACATGCCAAAGGGAGTGCTCCTGAGTGACATGGAGCAGCCAAAAAGGGATGGCAAAAAGCAATAATACAAGGCTTTAACACTGTGAAGCGGTCGAGCTCTACCTTCAGCATATCAGCAAGAGGAATACAATGATGGAGAGAGAGCCAAAAATGAAATTTTCGAGGAAAGAGGTCAGGCCAAACAGCCAAATGAGTCAGCTAGCGTGACTTTAGGGCATAATACAGAGCAGTCGGGAGACAAAAAGGACAGTGGAACACAGACCATAGAATTAGAGGGTCACGAGTCAGGTGAGGATAGTAAAGAGGGTAAGACGTCTAAGGTTGACAATGTTGAAGCATCCTTATCTAGAACAGATGGTAAGCTAAAGTATCCAGAACAGCCCACTACTCCATCAACCCCAACGGAATATGTTCCTATAATACCCCACCCAAAAAGAATGTAGAAAAAGAACCATGATGGTGGCTACGCCGTACCTAGGATTTAATATCTTATGAGTTTTCTTGGTAACCAGATGTAGTACGGTGAAGTAGTAATTTAGTAAGATTAGTCTAGGTGCACCTAATCTGGCCCAAACACTAATAGATTAAAAAATAATTAAATAAACTAACAAAAAATATAATAACAGCCTAGCAAGTTTGCCCCAACAACATAAGTTGATTGATCAAACAGGCCACAACATATATTAGACAATCAGTTTTTATTATACAAACACACATTATTCTCATAGATCTGAGCCAGTACATTTGGTGAAATATAACAGCACAACATAAAGACAAGGCATACAATCCAAACTTTCCCATAAACTGTAAGCACAAATACATAGTTCAACAATGGGGATAAGAGTGGAAAGATTTGGATGAACCTTACCTATATTAAGGACAAGGAGGGACAGTCAATTTCTTCATCAGCTCTGTGGATCCAAATCTGTTCATGAGTCCAAGCTTATGTGATCACGCAGAAGAGCTTTCTTCACCATATGATAGCCCGAAGCCGAAAGGAAATAGCGAATCCTGCAAATTATTCTCTGCATGGACTGGCAGTTGCTCGACCGTTTTAAACCATGTAACGGGTAAACGACCGGTGAAATTGTAATCTCCAAAGATAACGTCTGTGATTCTGCTTCTTTCGCTTCCAGGAAGCCAAGCAGCAATGAGAGCTTCTACTTTCTCCAGTACTGTTGGCTCCAAAACTAAGGGTCTCCCAGATATTAGAATCATCAGTGTGGGGATTCTGTCAGCCACTGCTTTTACGACGTCATTTCCATTTAAGGGTATAATGAGCTCGGAGTCATCGCCAGCGAACTCGGCATATGGACTTTCACCAACAGCCACAATAGCATAAGATATATCCTTATCATTTAAAGTGTCTGCTGATGGATATTGTTCATATATAACTTCTGTTTGGTCTCCAACTGCTTCTTTGATTGCATCTAAGATGGTGGTACCTAATAAAAACACCACTCATTTTTTGTGAAGTTGAAAGTGCCAAGTATATATGGCAATATTCGAGATTTGAATTTGTTTAGATATCTATATATGAATTAAATTTATCCAATCCATAAATTTAATTAAGCTTTTATGTTGAGTAGTTGTTTATTCATCCTTAACAATGAAGCAAGTTATGTACCAACTGTGATTCTGCCGGTCGTCCCATTCCAAGTAGCTGTCCACCCTCCACACTGAAATCCAAGATCATCAGCATGTGAACCAGCAACAAGAATCTTCTTGGCTTTCCTGTCTAATGGAAGAAAGGGTTTCGTTGGATTTTCTCCATTTTTCAATAGAACCAACGACTTCCGAACAGCTTCTCTCGCTACATCTCGGTGAAGCTGAAAGGGAGATTAAAAGAAGAATCTTCAAAAGAGAATTTTGAAACGTACGTTTGAGTAGGAAAAACTTTGGAGTACAGAACTTATTTGAGTTCTTTTATAATATGAGTTGTAAGCTATAACAGAAGCCACATTTTTGGTCTTTGGACAACCAATGCTATAGTCAAAATGATAGTTCAAGCTCCTGATCTTGTAGCATTTACAACATAGAGGACTTGGTTCAACAACAAGTATTTGATCAATTACTACACTACTCATCAACCCAACGCATTTTCTCCACATGGCAGTGAAAAATAGTCATTGCTCATTCTTTTCCGGTCCTTAGTTACTCAATGGCTCTTAACATTTTTTCTGCTATTTGGAAATAGTCCAAGCTAGCTTGAACGTTGACTAATCTAAGAGGATAACTACTAGACCAATACTCTATAGAGTTGTCAAGAAAACTCGTAATATATTAATAACTCGTATTTCTAGATAAGTTATAGACACCATGGTTTGAACTCATTAGGTCTAATCTCTTATGTTTCTCAGTGATAATCGTTCACATTTTTCATTGGTAATGACCACTAAGCCTAGTTTTACCATTCTTACCTATAAGTACTTCACTAAACAATTTGATTTCTTTGAAGATCGTGGATGTTGAGAAATGTTGTCAACTTAGAGAATAACATTTATGTTTCTCTGGTAAAGAGCAACAAAAGTTGTCTAATTGTCTCAATTAAGAGTTACAGTAATCACAAATGTTATATAGACTACTCGTATATGACAAAAGTTGGAAACTTGCCTGGCAACCAACGAGATCCAGCAATGATCTATCACTGAAAGGATGTTCAAAAACACCCGAAACAAACTTCACTCTTAATATTCGTTCAACAGCATCATCGATTCTAGCCATTGGAACCTCCTTAGATTCAACCAGATATAGCAAGTCGTTGATAAATAGTTCGTATCTGAAGGGCACCATCACCTGCATATCGATTAGTTTAGTCCTTGTAAATGCAAAACTCTGGAAACCAATAAAATATGAGTTTGAATTTTGGACGTTAAACGCACCATGTCTATTCCAGCATTAATTGCAGATGAAATGCAAGACCGATAGTTTGAACCTCTTGGTTCACTAAGACGATCAAGTGCTTCCCAGTYAGATATCACAAAACCCTGCATCAAGTAACACCAGCAGTGTAACAGCCATTAGCAGTAATAGAAACCAAAGCATAAGGGAAATGATGATCTAATAATAGAAAACTAAAATGGACCTAGGGACAACTACAAATCCACCATAAACACTCTAAGCAAATTTTCTTCTATTTTTCGAGAAATATAGGTTGTTTGAGGAGAGAGAATCATTAATTTTCCTTTATTTTTCTTATTGTGACGAGAGCCTCTATGAGTAAATATTTCGTAATAGCCTCATTATATCATACATACTTTTCGTATAAGTTGATACCATGAAGGAGTATAAACTAAAATTAATTTCAATTCTAACAAATCATGAGAAGCAAAAATATGATCCTTCACACATCATATATATTGTCCTACGTAGCTTAAACCCGAGCTTATTTTTTAAAACGTCTGTCAGCAGAAAACGATCAGCATGCAGCGGACCTCCATTCCAGCTTGAATAGGATGCCATAACAGTGGAAACTCCTTGAGCAATACAGTCCAGGTAAGGAGCCATATGGATCCTCTCCAAGTCATCATAAGATGAAATGGTATTTCCTTCATTCACACCATTATGAGTCCCCCCATCTCCAACAAAATGTTTTGCACATGCAATAACATTATTTCTAGGGTAAATAGAAAGACAGTATCAATTAGAAGGGATCTACAAGGCCAGTAGATGCAAATGTACTGAGCTTACTATTATATTATTTGGCCAATTGTTTTCACCAGACATAAGTGACGATAGAGTCAATGAAACATGGACATGAAATATGGACAAAACCTTTCTCTATAAAGCTTAAATAATTAAAATTAAAATTAAAATTAAAAATAAACCAGACCAAATACAGTGTCTACAGGAAATATGGACAAAACTTGTCTCTATACCTTCCGGCTACAAATGGATACCCCTCTGAGTATCCTTCAGGCAGCTTCCCCTGCAAGCCTTCAACTAAGGAAGTCATTTGTCTAACAACGTCAGTATCTTCACTGTAACTCTCATAGCACCTTCCCCATCTGGGATCTCTCGATACCTGAAGTAATCATTTGTAGTGAATACAACTTGCACTCTAATAGAATATCCAAAGGGAAGAATATAGCAAATTATAACAAATAAAGATCTTCTTTTAGGAAACCATGTTCAAAATTCTTAACTTTCTTATATAATTTGAGCTGAGCATTACTACTTACAGCAACACAAGGAGCAAATGCATAGTTAACCCCACTCGCCCTAACCTCTAGAGCTGTTACTGTCCCAATCCTTCTTACCAAAGCAGCATCTCTGTCATCCATTTAAAGTATACTGAGATTCTACTAAAGCCAGAGAAAAACAAATAATTTCTCAGAGAAAAGCAAATAATAAAACAATTTTTGCATATCTCTTTTAATCGTTTAATATTTAATAGTTCTTAATTTTTAAAGAGTCAAGTTTTTTTCGTGAGAATTCAAAAGTTGGAGAATGAAAGAAGGACACACATGAGGGTGAGGTTCGAACACATGATCTTTTGGTAGGAGACACATGCCTTAACCAAAGGTTGGTAGAAATCAAGAATAGTTCACCCTTGTTTTTTTATTTTTTATTTCTGTTTTTGTATAAACACAAGTATTGTTGGTCTGATAACTTTTACTACATCAAGTTTCTAACTTTTAAGAAATCTTCAGACAATTGTGTATAAATTTTAACTCAGGGCACAACAAAATTTAAGGCTGGATAATCATTTTGTTTTTGTTTTTTCTTTTTTTGTTTTTTTGTTTTTTTCTTTCTTTTTTTTATATTTTTGAAAATTACGCTTCTTTGTTTTACTGACCAATTTTTTATATATTTTTATATCTAAATCAAAGTTTGAAAACTAAACAAAAATCATTTAAAAAAATTTGTTATTGTTTTTTGAATTCTTCTAAGAAAAATTTCAAGGGAGGAAGTATAATTCTTAAAAAATTTAAACTAAAAACAAAATCATGTATACATAAGATGTATTATTTTATAATTTTATAATTAGAGAAGGAATGACAAATATTAAAAAATTAAATACAACATAAAAATATTAATATTTTATTTTGAAAAATTAATTTCAATGAACGTTTTAATTTTTTTTTTTTAATTTAATATGCGAGAGAGATGAGAAACATTTTACTAAAATATGGTTCTAATTTGTTATAATAAAAAAGGAAAATTCAAGAAATGAATAGATACTTAAATGCAATTTTATTTTTATGTTCCTTTGCAAAATAAATAAATAATAATAATAATAAATTTATTTTTATGTTTTGAAGAAAAAAAATGGAACCAGCAACAAGACCTATTCACCTAGAATTTCTCCACTCGTAGACAAACAGATAAAACATGAATTAAAAAAATGCTTATTTAAAAGAAAAAATGAAATTATACTAAATCACATAAAATACATATGTATTTATACTAAATGACAGAAAATAAACATGTATATATAAAAATATCAATACTCTGTATTGTTTTTAACGTGTGACATTTTGTTGGTCCTATATGATTGTATTAATTTTCAATATATGTCATTTTTCTGAAATTTTAAATTTAATGTTATATATAAATACTTATTTCTTTTGTACAATTTTTGTAAATCTCTCGGAAGGAAATAACCAATCTTGGTCCTTTTTTCAAAAATATCTCTATCCTTTCATATCTAAATGACTTCTTCCTACTTTTGTACTAAAAAAAAAAAATCTTCTTCCTCCTCTATTGTCTATCCAATTTTGCAGGTTTCAGTAATTAGTTGTCATATTAATTTTTGTTGAACACCAAAGAGTATTGGAACATTTTAGAAAAGTTTATGGTATTTTTTTAATTTAAATTTAGCCTAGAAAACTTATAATATTTGGTATCTGATTAAATGGATCGCGGATACCTTTGATCTTAAATGATGAAAATAATTCAAAATAACTAATTGCAGGGGAAACAAAATTGATTTCAAATCATTGAAATCAAAATTTATGATTGTAACATTTTACTGTCATACCTTTATGATTCTACAAGATACAAGGATAATAATAATATCAATTAATTACATAAAAGCAAATCATTTAATCAAATCAAATCAACCAGTAAATTTAGAACTTGAAAGTTTCATATTTATTGTTAAAAAAAAAAAAGAAAAGAAAAAAAAGAGATTGATGAACCTGGTGGCCCCGAGGCCAACATTGTGAGGAAAAATGGTAGCGCCATAAACATTGTTATTCCCATGAACAGCATCACTTCCATATATAATCGGAATTCCAAGACGCGACTCTAGCGCCGACTTCTGGAACCAGTCGACCATGTCGGCCCAATCCGACGACAAGGCGTTATGAAATGGCCAGCTGCCGCCGCCATTGAGAATGCTCCCTGCAGAATCAAATTCATCAATCGAAGCAGAAATGCAATAAAAATTTCAATCGACGAATAATGTACCGATGGAGAAATCTGTAATGGCAGAGGGAGTGGCCACAGTGCGCTCGATTTGGGTCATCTGCCCGATCTTTTCCCTCAGTGTCATCCTCGAGAGAAGGTCTTTGATTCTGGCTTCGATTGCTGCGCTGGGGTCTCTGTAGATGCCCTCCATTTTTTTCCTCTCCAGAACCAACCGCAATCCGCTTTCAGCTTTCAGCTTTCAGCAACAAAAACAAGTCAACGAACTTGGTTTCCATATTTTTGCCAATCAAATATAGGATAGCAATCACTCAACTATTTCACAGTCAACTCTTTGTTCTTTCTTTTTTGTTGTTTAATTCTTAGGTGAGGGGTGGAAGTGTGACGTTGAAGCTGTTATTAATACCCTTGAATTAGTACTAAACTCAAAAACTAAAGCTCTACAATTCAATCATAACCTAACATTAAGGTAATACTTAGAGTGAACCAGTTTAATCTATCTATTATATAACCTGTTGTGGTTGTATTTGAATATCTTATGTGGACGGAAAAATTATTTAATTTCCCAACATTATATATATCAAATTCAGAGCTGAACAGTTCTTTTTGGGCCAACAGAAAGCAGATGCTTATTTCAAGCCAAGTTTGAGATCCCTTTAAATCTTGTTGGGTTCTCATTTGTTTATTTTGGCTCTGCGGGCAATTCAATTGTGAATGATTCTCTGCTACAATGGAAATTGTACGATTTTTATTTTTCTTTTTGGAGGGGAATTAAATTTATAAACTAAAGGATTGATTGTTGTATAAAAGGATTTTCCTGACATTTTTCTTTATTATTTCATATACTCTTTTTATCTGCCATTTATTTTAAACAACATGCATCTCAAGTATGTGGAAGGTGGTTTTTGGAGCCTCTTACAGACTTTGGGGCGAGAAATGAAGAATGCAGGAGGATGAAGAATAAGGACAAAACCCTTTGTAGGGCTTTACCAAACATTTCTGTAATTATCAGTTACAACATGTCTTGTCGAACATTTGGAGCACATTTTTACAGGTTGAGTTTCCTTTTTTTGGACTATTTTTTTTTTTTTGCTTTTGTATTCCCTTGTACATTCTTTCCTTTGGTTAGACCCGAAGTAGTAAAAATGATTGTAGGTTTCTCTTTAACTTAGAACAAAAAGATAATCGATCGATTTAGTTCTCACCTATAATAGGTGTCACTCACTCTCTTTTCTTCTCTTCTTAAATTTAGTACACTATCTTCTTTGAATTATCTTGCTATATGTTTGCTTAAATATTTTGTTCAGTAATTCTTTTTTTTAATTAATCTTCTTTTGTTGATTGTATAATTTTTTTTATTCTTGAATTTATTCACCCCTCTAGCGTTGTCTTTCGATCCTACAATATATACCCTAAATTTACTCCATATTAACTTCATTCTAATAGACCGATTCAATGGCTCCGATTCAATCAGCATTGCAATCCATTGTTGAGGCACCAGAATTGTTCTTGGTGCCTAAATCCATGACAGTTTACCACATATACGTGTGGGGCCCGTCGTAGTTTGAAAGATTGCCACCCCAATTTCTACTGTATGGTCGGTCATCCGACGGTTCAACAACCAGCAAGCTACAAGCACTTCGTCAAGATTTGTCATGTGATCATTGACTACGACGACATCAAAACAAACCGAGAGGTCTGCATCATCTCCGACATTTCGACGACCTGCCACGTAGAGTGACTCGAGATTCTAGTTGATAAACAATAGATCTTGAGCTTCAACAAGAGGCTTGAGGTTCAACATGGTTGGCAGCTAAAGCAAGGTGAATGGGGAAGAAGAGAATATATGAAAAAGATTTTTAGGTTTCATCATATAGGAGGTAAATAGTAGATATTTCAAATTAATTCGAATGAGATTTGAATGACATTTTTAATATTCTTTTATTTTTCCATTTTTCGTAGTTCTTTTCAGTTGTTTATTAATCATATATTACAATGTGTAATTGGGTAAATTTTACATATTACTTTACTATTCTAAATAGGCCTCTATTTTAGCAAAAGTATAAATTATAAAGATTTAACACATTTGTATAATTAGGTTATATAAATAGTCTACATTTGTACTTGTCCCGAAGAAGAAGCACCGTGAGAGTAAAATAGAGTCAATTTAGAAAATCATTAAAGATCCGTTGGTTGGAGGATTTAGGAGGTAGGAATGAACTTGAAATATAAAGCTCATGTTTGATCTTAGATTTGAAATGATTTGTCACCAAAAAGTTTTTTTTTTTTTTTTTAATGCTATTTGATTTTTTCTTGATGCTTTGTTATTATTTTTCGTTGGTTCTTTTTTTCTCCTTTGTTATTTGTTAGGAATCGATCAAMTATTTTTTAATATATCTTAGCCATCCCATTCTTACCTGTCAATCTTATCATTAAACTATTTTTTAATTTGACAGTCAACTCTTTGTTCTTCTTTTTTTGYTGTTTGACTTTTAGGTGAGTGATGAAAGTATGATGTTGAAGCTGTTATTAATACCATACCGTGTTAGAATTAATACTAAACTAAAAAACTAAAGCTAATAATTTTGGATATATTTAATTTTATTATCAACATTATCAAAATAGATGCCCAATCTTAGGTTTAAAAAACATAGATATATAAATAAACCCTAACCCATGTGTCCACCTCTCCAAAGTGTCAAATTGAACTCGTGTCCGAGTGCATGCTTAATTCTCAAATTTCCCATGTGTCTATTTTCTACCTATGAGTAGTGTCCAATTGTAAAACATCATGGTTGTACAAATTACCTATAAATAGTGACAATTCATAGTTCATTTGATAGTGGATTTTGGTGGAAAATTCATGTTGATCATTTTACATTTCAATTTTATATTTTGTCCAATCTCGTATTTTCTTGTTGTTTGTGACCCGTGGTGCCTCATTTTGCTCCATAATTTTACAAGACGTTATCAGCACCACCCTGTGCCATTTTTCCCTCTAAAGGTAGGTTATTTGATTTTTCTTTTATTTTTCATACTTAGTATATATTAAATTTCTAGTATACAGACATCTTTTTTGTGATAGTGTTACTATCACAAATCTCACCAAATTAGAGTTTACTGCCCTTGACATCAATGATAATAATTATTTGTCATGGGTACTGGATGCTGAGATTAATCTCATGCTATGAATCTGGGAGAAACCATCAAAGAAGAAAATACAACGACAAGTCAAGATAAGGCAAAAGCCATGATTTTCCTTTGTCACCATCTACACGAGAGATTGAAGATAGAAAATCTGACAATAAAAGATCATGATGTATTATGGTAAAATTTGAAAGAGAGATATAAATATCAGAAAATAGTTATTCTTGTTCAAGTTCGATATGAATGGATGCATTTGAGGCTCCAAGATTTCAAATCAGTAASTGATTATAATTCTGCATTATTTAAAATCAGTTTGAAATTGAASTTATGCGGAGAAAAAATTACTGATGAAGATATGCTCGGGAAGACATTCTCTACCTTTTTCATGTCTCAAATATGCTCTTGCAACAACAATATCGAAAGAAAGATTTTAAGAAATATTGTGAGCTCATATCATGTTTTTTTGTTGCTGAGCAAAATAATGAGCTGTTGATGAAAAATCATGAATCTCGACCAACTGGAACAATACTATTACCTGAAACAAATGCCGTGAATTTTAATAATCGTGGTTGAGGTCGAGGTCATGCTCGAGGACGCGACCGCAGTAGAGGAAGAAATAATCATTCTTTTCATGGTGGTCGTTATAATTATCCAAATTTCAAAAGAACCACACGAAATAATGATCATAAAGAAAAAGCTCCATTGGATCAGAATGCTAGAAATGTTGAACATAAATGTTTTCGATGCGGAATGACTGGGCATTGGGCATGTATTTGTCGTATATCGAAACACTTGTGGATCTCTATCAGGCTTTCCTAAAAGAAAAGGGAAAAAATGTGGAGGCAAATCTTGCATATGTGATATATTTGATCCTGCCAACATAAAAAATTTGGATGTGGCAGATTTTGTTGAAACTCCCAGAGAACAAATTGGCACAATGGATGGAATAGCAAGTGTTTCCTTTGATTTTCAAAACATCCAGAATTTATATATTTTTTTTAATCTTTCATGTTTGTTTAGCTAAGGTTGTCTTTTTGTATTTCAAGTACGTTGTCTTTTTGTGTTTCAATTTTTTTTTTCTTATCTTCTTCTTATTGTAATTATTTTGTTTAATGAATAAGCATGGACAGTTTTCATATATTGGATGACTAAAAAATGAGCAATGAAGATCTATGTTGGGCAAATAGCAACTATGCACATAATACTAAAAAGTAGAAAATATTTTTCCAAATTGACAATGTTAGAAGCAAAAGTCAATACAATATCAGGTTTTGCAAACTTAATTGAAGGTTTTGGAAAAGTATATATTATTTTACCTAGAGGAACAAAGTTTACGATTGACAATACATTATTCTCTAGTCAATCAAAGAGAAATCTATTGAGTTTTAAAGATATACGTTKCAGTGGTTATCATATTGAGACGRGTAACAAGAATAATATTGAATATCTCTATATTATTTAAATGTATACACGTAGCAAACTAATGATATGTTTGGATGTCAAAAACACTTTTTTGTCCTACCGAAAGTACTTTGCCACTTAAACTTAACATGTTGAAGACTAATATAATAGGTGTGGTAACAATATAGTTCCAAATTTGAGTATTTTAACTAAATTTTGGTATCATAATAGGTGCTGTAAAATTAACTTTAACCACAAGATCAAACTAAAACAAAATCGATTTGATTAAAATCTATTTTCGAGTATACTTTGTTTAGTTCAATTTACACATATAGCAAACTAACCACCATGGTTCAATTTTAGTTTAGTCAAAAACCAAATCAAACTGTATGTCAACGAACACCTCTAATTCTAAAAGTCTAACGTCAAATAAGCATAATTCAGCAATTAAGGACAAGGCATCTAATCGATTTTAGGCAGAAAATTAAGATTCTTCTCTCACATTTGTAGTACTTAACAAAAATAAATAAATAATATAAAAACTTAGATAGTTAACTACCATGGGTTGACTCATTGATCCAAATGAGGAAAGGTAAATTATAAAGAATTTAGACAAAATGAGTTCAAATCATGGTCGCTGCCTACCTAGTTACGATTTAATATCATACGAGTTTCCTTGACAACAAAATGTGGTAGAATCAGGTAGCAATCTCGCGAGATTAGTCGAGGTATATCTAAGATGGCCCGAACA